CGTGAGATTACAACAGCAGTGTAGGTATGTAACTGTACATAATTAAACATTACACGAGTATTACATCAATACTCGTGAGATGTTTTTATGAAACTCGCCTGTCGGCTCGTTTCATAAACCCTCACTCGTGTTTTCATGCCTTTCATTATGTAACAGTCACATTATAATAATAATAATAATAATACTTTATATAGCTCGATTACCACTGACTAACTGACTGAACCAGTGATTTAGATAATTGTTCTCCCAGAAAGAGTCGCGGTAGGTAAAAATGATGTACGGGAGTCGTGATCGGATGGCTCCGGTGAGTACCAGAAAAATCCGAAATCTTCGAAAAGTGGACTGCATCAGGTGGGACCCCGGCAGCGCGACCAAAGTATAACACCTACCGGCAGGGTCGTCAAACTAAATGGCCGCCACCTTGGGCAGTCTCTATCGGAAGTGAAAAAAATTCAAAATTCGCATAAACAAGATGGCCGCCATACAAATTTCAGAGCCCTGTAGCTCGGCAAGTAATGGAGATGGGCGGGGGATCCTCGACCAAATGTCATAGAGAGTGGTGGGGGTCAACTGCCGATGAAAAAAATTTTTCGAAATGGCCGACTCAAAATTGGGGCCTAAAATAAAAATGCTCCGATCCGGCTGAAATTTAGCATCCGGTCGTCAATGGGGGCTCACAATTACAATATGTGGTCGAAATTTCGATTCCGCCATTTTCCAAGATGGCCGCCATACATGTGAATTTTCTGCCCTTTGGCGTCATTTTTCTCCCGGAAGGAGAACAGGTGGGTAAAATGATGTAAGGGAGTAATAGTCGGATGGGATTGGTGAGTTTCAAAAGGTAACGTAATCTTCGAAATTTGCTCCGCATCAGGTAGATCCCCAGCTGTCCGGCCAAAGTATGGGTCTGGGCACAAAGTCTCCAAACAAATGTTTATCCACACCCTTGGCAATTTCTACTGGGAGTGAAAAAAAAATCAAAATTCGAAAAACAAAATGGCCACCATACAAATTTCGAGGGCCCGTATCTCGGAAACTATTGGAGTTAGGTAGATGGTTTTTAAACTAACTAAAACTGTAGAGTGCGACAGGATCCATCTGGTTGTCAAAATTATTTTTTCAAATTGGCCGATTCAAGATGGCAGCCCGACAAAAAGGTGCTCCGATCCAGCTGAAATTTTATATTCTTCCATGTTTTGGAGCCTGTTATACGAATTTGTGATCAAATTCTAGATTCCGCCATTTTACAATATGGTCGCCATACATTTTCCACAGTCCACTATTATATTATTATTATATTATTTTCCACAGTTCCGACGCCTACATCTCGGCGAGTGTTGGAGATAGATGAGAGGGGCTCAAACAAATGTCGTACAGAATAGTACGAGTCAACTGCTGGTAAAAAAAAATTCAAGATAGCGGCCTGAAAATGGCGACCCAAAATAAATGTGCTCTGATCCGATTAAAATTTGACATCCGATCGTGTATGGAGAGTCATAGTATGGATCTGTGACCGAAATTTTAATGCCGCCATTTTCCAAGATGGCTGCCATACAAGTGAATTTTCGGTTGTTTGACCAGCAGTTTTCTTGGATGGATTTGGTGAGTATTAGAAAGTACCAAAACCTTCGAAAAGTGTTCCGCGTCAGGTAGGACCCTAGCTGCCCGGCCAAAGTATACGTCTTGGCCCCGAGGTCTCCAAACAAATGTTGATCCACACCCTGGGCAGTTTTTGCAAGCAGTGAAAAATATTCGAAATTCGAAAAACGAAATGGCCGCCACTCCCAGTCAAAGTCAAACAAAGAGTATTCTTTACTGAAATATGAAGTTCAACTCCCAATTTGTCACCAGATACAAAAAAGGCCCTCGCTTTAGCGGCCCGGCGCAACGCACGCCATCTAGTTATATATATAAAGCTACAAGTTTAGACTCCTTCATACTTCATACTTCCCGATATGGTAGAAAAAAGATATTTATACCGTTGTACGCAGATAGGCTCCAAGGCAAAGAATCAATTATGAAAAGACCTGAATGTGGAAAATGTAAACGAGTGATCAACGGCCTGCAAAAACTATAATACATGGGGGGGATTTTTGTGCACTTTTATCAGATACACCTTGGTCAATTTTTGCAGAAAGTAAAAAATGTTCGAAATTCAAATAAACAAGATGGCCGACATACAAATTTCAAAGCCTCCAATCACGGAAATTATTAGAGATAGGTAGGAGGTGCTTGAAGGAATGTCATAGAGGGTAACACTGGTCAACTGCCTGGGTACAAAAAATTCAAGATGGCGATTTGAAAATGGAGGCCGAAGAAAAACTTGCTTTGATCCGGCTGAAAATTGGCATGCGAGGGTCTTTAGGAGACCTTAATCATAATTTGAGGTAAAAAATTTTCTTTTCGTCATTTTTTAATATGGCTGCTATATAAGTGTTTTTTCGTTAAAAATAGCTGCCGAAAGAGATTTGCTGTGATTCGATTGAAACATGGCATGTGAAGGCCTCTAGAAATTTATAATATATAATAATTTGCTGCCGGATAATAATTTGTGCTCAAAATTTGTTTTTCGCCATTGTCAAATATGGCCGTCATAGAAGCGTTTGTTGGCGGCAAAAAAAAATTGCTCAGATCCCTTTGCAAATTGGCATATGAGTGCTTGATAATAATTTGTGATCAAAATTGGTTTTTCGCCATTTTTCAATATAGCTGCCATAGAAGTGTTTTTGGCGGTAAATGAAAATTTACTCTAATTCGATTGAAAATCGGCACGTGAGTGTTTTGATAACAATCAGCGGTCAAAATTTATTTTCCGCTTTTTTCAATATGTCTGCCATACAAACTTTTTGGCGGCACATGGAAATTTGTTCTATTTCAACTGAAAATCGGCATGTGGGGACGTCTATGGGTGTTTAATAATAATTTGCTGTGGAAATAAGTTTTGTTATTAAGTTTGTAGTGGAAATAATATCTTTATACAACTTATAGCGTTGTTGTATCTCGACCGTCTCTCTGTTAGATTCTTTTTTATTGGAAACTATGCCAAAAAGAGAAGTATTTAAGGAAAAAATACCATTTTTTTTTATTTTTTTTTAACGGGGGGGAAATCTTTATGGATACCCCTGAGCCCAGGGAGACTCAGGGGTTATGTGGGGACTCTCCCTCCAGACTGGAGGGCCTACCCCACTAAAACCCCCCCGGGTTTCCCTCTCGCCGGTTGAGTCGGCGCCGTGGGATCAGTGAACATTCACCACGACGCCGCCCGGCCGCCCTAGCTTACGCCAGGGCTCCCGCGCCAACGGAGGGGCGAGTCGGTTGTCCTCCGACCCGCGCCCCAGACGAGTGAGGCCGTGCAATGCAGGCTCCGGAGTCCCTGTCCAGAGCCCGCTGGTCTCACTAGGGGATCAGGCGAGCAGCGAACTGCCTTCGCCTTCTCCCCGTACGTCTGCGCCGGAGCGGGTGCGCGTCCGCCGCGTCCTCGCGCACCCGCTCCGCGCGGCCTCCTTTTGCGACATAACCTCTGCGCAAAAGGAGGCCACCGCCTCCCAGGACTCCTCGCTATCGAGCATGGCGGCAACCACGCTCGGCAGCGAGAGGTCCTGCCCTACAGTCCCCGTCAGAGTGCGGCGCTGCTCATCCCACCGGCTGCACACCTCTAGGGTGTGCTGCGCTGTGTCATCCGCAGCGCCGCACTCGTGGCACGACGGGGACGGTTCCCTCCTCGCCACCTTGTGCAGGTAGTGACCGAAGCAGCCGTGCCCGGTCAGCACCTGCACAAGGTGGTACGACAGTGGCCCGTGGGACCGGTTTACCCACTCTACGAGGACAGGGCGGATCGCCTCTATGGTACGAGCGCCATAGGGGGGATCCGCCAAGCCCTCTTTCCACCGGTCCCGCATGCGCAGCGCCGCGAGGCGGCGCTCCCGCTCCACCTCTTGGGGAGCGGGTCGCTCGCCTCGGTCCCTCATTCCCCGCCGGTAGGTGCGGACCTCCGCCAGGACCTCGGCTTCGAGGTCCCACGGCGGAGTACCGGCGAGGACGCATGCGGCAGCGCAGGCCACCGTCCTGTACGCCCTGCACATTCGCAGGGCGACCACCCTCTGGGGCCTCCTCAGCAGCGCCTTCGTCGCCGCTGATATGGCCCCACTCCAAATGGGAGCCCCGTATAAGGCCATACTCCGAGTCACCCCGGCGTATAGCCTTCTGCATGGGGCTCCCGGCCTCCCGAGGTTGGGCAGGAGCCTGCCCAACGCCGATGCGGCGCCCACTATTCGGGGAGCAAGTTGCCGGAAATGCTCCCCGAAGTTCCATCGCCGGTCCAGGACAAGTCCCAGATATTTCATCTGGGACTTGACCGGGACCGGTACTCCCGCGATGGAGATGTGGGCGCCTGCCGGCACCGCCCAACCTCTACCCCTCCCGCCGAAGACGGCCACATCCGTCTTCGGCACGGCGACCTCGAGCCCCAGCAGTTGTATTCGGCGGACCACCATGTCCGCCGCTACTGAGGCTCTTCGGGCCGCCTCCTGGAAGGTGGTCCCCCGGACGGCCACCAGCGTGTCATCGGCGTACGCGATGACCGCCGTCCGGGGGAGCAGCGCGCCTCTCAGCACCCAATCGTACCCCAGGTTCCACAGTAGTGGTCCTAATACGGATCCCTGGGGTACTCCGCACCTCATTGGGCGCTCGGCGCGCCTCCCTTCCCTCGTCTGATAGAGCACCACCCTGTCCTCCAGGTAGTGCTCCACCAGACGGCTGAGGTACCTGGGGATATTATGGTACCTCAGCGCCTCCCTGATAACGGCGAAGGGGAGAGTGCCGAAGGCGTTGGCTATGTCTAACGACACAGCCACCACGCCTTCCCCCTCGCCGTTACCCTCCTCCACGATGTGTCGCAGCGACTCCAGGGCGTCCAGGGTGGAGAGTCCAGCCCTGAACCCGTACTGCCGCTGCGACACATCGGGGCCTGTCCCCCTCAGGTGTTCGTTGATCCTGGAGGCCATGATTCGCTCCAGGATCTTCGCCACCTCGTCCAACAGGACGAGGGGCCTGAACCCAGAGGGGGAATCCGCAGGTCGGCCCGGTTTGGGCACCAGGACGAGCCTTCCCTCCTTCCAGCATCTCGTGAACAACCCCGTCCTCAAGCAGTCATCCATGAGATGCTTAAGGCGGGTCCCGAGATGCTTCAGGGCAATGCGAAGGACTCGTCCCGGTACCCCGTCCGGGCCGGGAGCCTTCTTCCGCCCCCGCAGCCGTCCCACCGCCCACTCCAACACCCCCTCGGTGATTTCCGGGGGGGGTTCCTCAGTCTGCCCCCCGTCTGCTCTGGGGGGCACCATGGCCGGTGGGATGAAGGGCTGCGGTTCGGGGAAAAGGCCCTCCACCACCCGGTTGAGGAGATCCAGCTCCAGTGACTCCATGGGAGATGCGCCGTACATTTTGTTGCGCACAACTTTGTACGGCCTCCCCCATGGGTCCGCGTCCAGGGTGGCCAAGAACTCCTCTTTCGCAGAGTCCTTGGCCCGCCCTATTGCGACCTTCAGGGCCTGCCTCGCACCCTGAAGGGCGCTGTGGAGCCTTCTCTCCTCACTTTGAGTGTGGCGCCTGCGGCGGCATCGGCCGTAGGCCCGCCGGGCCGCGGTACTGGCGGTGCGGAGGTCCCCAATCTCCGCGGTCCACCAGTACACACTCTTTTTGCCCGGGGTCCCTCTGACCCTGGGCATGGCCCGCTCGCAGACGGCGGTCAAGTCTTCCCTGAACTTGACCGCCCTCTGCTCCACGTCGACGGTGGCCGGTGGGGGGGGGGGCACCACGCCTGGACCATGGCTGCTTCCTCTGCAAGCTCATAGTCCAGGCGGGTGAGTGCCCATTTGGGAAAGCCCCCCCTGGGGGCCGTGTTGGAGGCCGTCGTGGGCCGCGTAAGGGAGACCCTCATCCGTATGTATTTATGATCGGAGAGGGTCTCCTCGTCCTCCAGGACCTGCCAACCGGATACTCGCGCCGCTAATGAGGGGGTCGCAAACGTGACGTCCACGATTGACCCCCCATTTCGCCGAACGCACGTGTTGGCATGGCCCCGGTTGAGGATGGCTAGCCCTAAGACTGCCGCCCAATTTTCCAACTCTGGCCCCCTGGCATTGGTGACCGGAGAACCCCACGCCGCGCTCTTGGCGTTGAAGTCCCCCAACACCAACACCCGCGTCGGAGCTGCCCTCCTCACCGTCCTCTCTAGGGTCTCCAGGAACGCCTGGAATTGGGCCAGGGAGCGGTTTGGAGAGAAGTACACCCCAATTAGGATGACTTCTCCCCACCTCGCCGCCACGAACCCTAACCCGCGTTCCTTCACCACTAGAGGGGGGGAGTTTCCGTCAGTCGACGCCACTATGGCCACCGTCTCCTCCCGGTCCCCCGCCCAGTTCCCCCGCGGGGGGACAAAGTAGGGCTCCGCCACAGCAGCCACCGCAACCCCCCACTCCGCCATGGCCTGGACCATTAGGTCCTGTGCCCTGGCGCAGTGGTTGAGGTTGCCCTGCAGTATAGTATGGTGGCGTGCTGGCATTAGTGCTCCATACTTTGTCCCTCAGGGGGGGAGCCGGAGGTCCCCGTCGGCTTGCCCTTGGTGGGGGGAGGAGCGCACGATCGCCCCCCCCATTACGTGGTCCGCTGGGCGGCGAGCCGCGGTGCAGACCGAGCACCGTGGGGTCGCCGTGCACCCGGAAGCCGTGTGCCCCGCCTGGCCACACCTGAAACAGAGCCCGCTCCTGTCTTCACTGGACGGGCAGAGGGCTCTGGTGTGGCCAATCCCCATGCACTTGAAGCAGCGCATGGGGCGGGGCTCCATGACGTGGACCCCAGCGGAGGACCAACCCACCAACAGGCGGCCGGCAGCCGTCACCCGTTGGGCTGCCGTCACAGGGCAGCGTACGAGGGCTGACCCCCTCCCGTTGGGGGCCAGTCTGACGGCTCCCACGCTCACGGTGGACTGGGGGCATTGGCCCTTCGCGGCCACCACCGCCCGGATCTTCTCCGGGGTCACCGACTCGTCGAGGCCGGTGACCCTTAAATCGGCGGTTTTGGTTGGCCGCGTCACTACTGCCAGCCCCCCGATCACCTCCTCCAGCTTGGCCGCCAGGGTGTCGACCTTCTCGGCGCTGGTCGCTCCGGGCACCTCGACCATGCGGGCACCCGTCTGGGTATTCCGCACCCGCACGTGCGGGATGCCGAGGCTGCCCAAGTCGACCGCAGCGGTCACCGCCTCAAGGACACCCTTGTAGGTGGCCCCCTTTTCCGCCACCGCTTCAGGCCTCAGGGTGATCACCACCGCCGACGATTTCGGGGTGGCGAGCGCCCTGGGTCTGGGAGCTGTCTTGGGGGCCGCCTTGGCCCGTGCCGCTTGGGGGGTGGCAGCTGCCTTTTTGGCCTTTTTAGGCGTTTTGGTCTTGCGGCCAACTACCTGCGACCAGGGCGTTTCCGTTTGGTCGGTCGTCGTTGGGGCCGTCGCGTCTGAGGCGACGGGGTCAGCGGAGGCCGTCACAGGAGGGGCGGCAGTAGTCTTCCGCGGGAGAACCTTCTTTTTGGCCTTCTTGGGCCGCGGCCCGGCAGGCGCGTTTCGGGCCAGGGAGGGGCCCGGTATCGGCTCGAGGGGAGGCACTCTGGGGGCGGTTGCAGCGGCGGCAGCGATGGCACTGTTACGTCGCCAGGAGCCCCTCTTCTGCCGCCCAAGGGGGGCCTTAGGACCTCCGCGGGGAGGCGCCTTTCGATGTCACTCAGGCGGGCGTCTATCATATTCCTCATTGAGGTAAATATGTCGCGCCTGAGGTCATCGATGGCCTCCCTCACCCCCGCGTGCATTTCCGCGGAGCTGCACGGCGTTGGGGCCATCTGCGTCTTGGCCTCGGCCATGGCGGAGGAGTAGGCCCCCCTCAGGGCCTTCATCTCTGCCTCTAGGGCAGCGAGCTGCCCCTTCATCCGGCGGTTGTCTTCCGACATCCGCCGCGCCGCCTCAGTCGCCGTCTCTCCACGGTGGAGAAAGTCCACGGCTCCCTCCACCTTTCTGACGGCCTCTTCTATGGCTTTGACCACCGTCCCCTTGAGGTTAGAGGACTTGGTGGTCTCCGCTATTACCGCGAGGCCGTCTCGCGCCTCCTTAGCCAGGGCCTCTCTCATGAGGTCCGCTGTGCCCTCGAGTTCAGCCTCCCCGGCCTGGCCAGGAGAGCGCTCCTCTTCGCCCGTCCCCGCGCTCACGTTCAGATTCCCCGCACTTAGTGAGCGTGGGATGGGGAACGTGGGTCTATATGACCCGCCAGGGCCATCCGCGTCAGGCACACGAGGGCGTGGTCCCGTGTTATTGTGACCCACACCGACAGCTCGGCCTCTCCCAGCTGTGTTGATTTTTGGAGCCCTATTGGGCTCTAAAGGAAAAAAAAAAAAAATACCACGAAAACGAGTGATGATAGGAGATGCTTGAAGGAATGTCATAGAGGGTAACACTGGTCGACTGCCTGGGTTAAAAAAATTCAAGATGGCGATTTCAAAATGGAGGCCGAAAAAACTTGCTTCGATCCGGCTGAAAATTGGCATGCGAGGGTCTATAGGAGTCCTTAATCATAACTTGAGGTCAAAAATTTATTTTCGCCATTTTTTTACATGGCTGCCATATAAATGATTTTTTCGTTAAAAATAGCTGCCGAAAGAGATTTGCTCTGATTCGACTGAAAATTGGCATGTGAAGGCCACTAGAAATGCCAATGATAATAATTTGTGCTCAAAATTTGTTTTTCGCCATTGTCAAATATGGCCGTCATAGAAGCGTTCGTTGGAGGCAGAAAAAAAAATTGCTCAGATCCCTTTGAAAATTGGCATATGGAGGTCTCTAGGAGTGCTTGATAATAATTTGTAATCAAAATTGGTTTTTCGCCATTTTTCATTATGGCTGCCATAGAAGTCTTTTTTGGCGTCAGATGAAAATTTGCTCTAATTCGATTGAAAATTGGCATGTGGTGGAGTCTATGGGTGTTTAATAATAATTTGCGGTCAAAGTTTATTTTTCGCCATTTTTTAATATGGCTGCCATACAAACTTTTTGGCGGCAGATGGAAATTTGCTCTAATTCAGCTGAAAATCGGCATGTGGGGATCTCTATGGGTGTTTAATAATAATTTGCAGTCAAAATTTACTTTTTACTTTTTGAGGTGTAGTGGAGGGCGAAGCCCGAAGCGTCCGCGCGCCAACTTACGTAGGTAGTATACGGAGACTCTATTACGGTACAAGATTTCACAATTGTTCAAAATGTAAGGCATACTTCCCGATGGAAATAAGATACTTATGGCGTTGTTGTATCTCGACCGTCTCTCTGTTACATTATTTTTTTTGGAAACTATGCCAAAAAGAGAAGTTTAAGGAACAAATGCCAGTCAATCACTCCAAATTTCTGATTTCAAAGTAGGAATTTCCTGTACTATGAGTACCAGAGTAACGATAATTCTGAGGGCAATACCCAGAATACCCTGACCAGAACCAATTTAAAAATATTCTTTTGGTTCAAATCAGGGATCGAATCTGGAACCTCCTCGTCAAGCGCCCATAGTACTTAATCACTGTGGCAACGAAGAGCATAAGCACACCCCGTAATTTGAAACCGACCACGCGCCGCAGGCCGAGCCCGATCCCGTCGTAAGTGCGGTATAGAGCTCGTAAACTACTATATGTGACATAAATATTAGGTGACTGATGAATGGCAGCCCATTATATGAAAATCATAAAAAGTTAGACAATGAAAAGCCAAAGCTCTTTAGCGTCAGTTAACTATCAAAGGGCGTCAGTTTGATACTGTACACAGAACAACGGTCTCAGGGAGTAAAATGAGTCGCTAAAATATTGGCCATGACCGCTAAAATGGAGCGAGCTTGGTAAGTCGGTGCCTGGTAATATTCACGACATAGCTTTGTAATGTCAACTACTTATACAGGGTGATGCCAGCTGCAGTCTAATTACGACTCTCCATTCACTTTGCATACCGCCTGTCTCTTAAATCTACGAAATTTACGTACTTACCTCTGTTATCAGGTGCTTTCCGCTGGTTTTTTTATTTGTTAACTGGCTGTGATTACCAATGAAAATGAAGCTATTTTTCGGAACTCAATAGCATATATTCTTTTTGTTGTTATTGATACAAAACCAAGACATAAAAACACCAAGAAAAATTCGTTTAATCAGATTGGACCATCGACTTTTTCGCCGAACATTTTTATCATTTAGCAGCATCAGAGCTCCTTGTGAAAGAGTACATCCAGGGAAGTAATGCCACCATACTTATTTCTCCCGCCAAGCTACTGCATAGCTATAGGATATGTGAGCATTACTGTGTTTCGGTTTGGAAAGGTAAGGGTGCTGGTAAAATTACAGACACATGGGACTTGGCAACTTACGTCTCAGGGCGATGGGCGCAGTGGCAGTGGCCCTTAGATATTTGCGATTTAAAGCTCTGGATGGCACTGCAACTGTTATGGACAGGCGTGTGGACAGCTTACCATCACGCACACGACTGTTCGTCCCGTCACTTGTCATAATAAAAAATAAATAAAATAAAATGTAGGTATCACCTGCTGTAACGCATGATTTCTTGATTCATTACAACGTCGTAAACATAACATACGCAACCAAGGAACTTTTATTCGACAAATAAATGTATAAAATAACATATCTGCGAATAATTTATTTTATTTATTTATACATTTATTTCAGGCTACGTGACCCATATAATATATACCTTAAGGACTAACATACACACAATATAAATAAAATAATCAACTAATGTACACGCATTACACTTGTCGGCGACGTGTGGCGCAATCTGGTGTCAGGTAACTAACAGATGACACCCTTCGGCCAAAACTCTTCCTTCATGAAGGCCGACAGATGTTCGGTCGGCACTCTCACCACAAACGAATTAAAATTTATGATGTGGCGGAACTCCAACCGCTCGACTCTGAAGGTGTATTTGGTTTTTAGCCTGATGTACTCCACTATCTCCTCAGACTTCGTGGAGTGATGTAGTCGCGACAGGTACAGCAGTTGCTGAACGGAGCAAAAAGTTCGATCCTGTCGGTGCTGTGCCACACAGGTTACGGCTGGTGGGCTTCCTCTTCCTCGTCATCACCTTTGTGAAGCCGTCCTCGTCGCATTGATTCGTCTGCCTCTGCGGTTTTGCTACTTCTGAGACAGGCACACGGGGATTAATTGTACTCTTAGCCGATTGCCGCCTCTCGAGTTTTGATGTAGCGGGTCGGCTGGTAAAAGCGGCAACAGCGGCGTAAGCACGTGCAGGGGCTCACATGCACACGCGTGATATTTCCGCCGGGGCGGAGGCGCGGACAGCAGGGCGCGGCGCATCGTGCGCGACGGCAGCAGCGATCGGTGACATTGACGATGCATTTTGTACCCCACGACGCGTGTTTACTTACGAATAACATTACGCACGATATATAAAACAAACTTAACCGTACGTGACTATCGGGCGAACGTGCCCCTGAGTAGGGTTGCCAAACATATACAACTGGATTCTTGCATCAAACTGGTAAAGTTCGCGTATGGCACATGATCACACTTTTAGTAAAAAAATAATAATAAACAAGTGTCATGTGTCAACCGTCCGAGTCATTGAGTTAATAGTATTGTTTATAGCGCAAACGCAACAGCTGCAGTAGGTTTCTTGTATATTACCGCGGGTGTAGTCAGTTTCTTGTTTAAAAAAAACAAAGCTGAAAGGATTTGATTATGTTTTTAAGCAATATTTCACCCGGGTGCATTATTTATGGAAATTGGTAGAATAAAATTTAAATTTAAAATTCTCCTACTTTTGTGTACGTGCGTTTTGTAAGTTTAGGTTATATTTAGGTAAGTGTCGAGCATTAACTGTAATAATAAAAACAATAATTTTAATATACTCGTGTTTGAATAATGTACGAGTATATTATTCAAACACGAGTAAGCACAAGTACATGTTCGTACATGTACGACAATTCTCCTACATGGATTGGAATTCCCCTACCGCGAAGAAAAGAGGCTGATTAGCACTAAAGTAAATAACTGCACGCTAATTTGGCATTAGTACGAGGGTAACAATTTAGTAAGACCGCACTTACCATGCTTTAAAAAGTTCTAGTATATGTATA